CTGGAACTAGTTCCAATGGAACAGTCCAGTCCAGTCCAGTTTTTAAAACTGGACTTAGGACTGTACCCAACACTGACTAGAACGGTCATATCTTTAAATTTTAATCCAGTATTCCTTCCAGTTCCAGTGATTCTTACTGGAACAACACTGATCTAGTATAGGTTTAGAAAGGATCGCCAAATTTCATCATGGCCTTTACACTGGTGATTTGAGGCCTGCACGGGCCGGGCCGAATTAGAAAATTTTAAAAACCTCAAAATTGCGGGCCGAACTTTTAAAAAACATAATAAATTTTATTTTGCGGAGGCCTCATAGGAGAAAATCGTCTGATTGGCTAATTTTTATAGATCTACCGTGATCACCCATGATAATTAGCCAATCAAATTGAAAAAATTTATCGCTTTAATAATACTAGAAACTTTGTACGAAGAAGTTACAAATTAAACAAATACGCAAAAGAATTAATTTATTTCAATACACAGAGAATAGATAGATACATGTAAAGTGAAGTAAAGGCGGTATTTATTATTAATAAACCCAAACTCATTAATACAATCTACAATCTATAAACCAAAACTTATTATGGTTGACGAACCCAAACACAACACAAAAAACAAACATATTTAAGTATTAAACCCGGAACTTCTTTTACAGTAAACCTATTCTTACTCAAATTCAATAGTCACTAATAAAAGTTTTTTTTTTTAATCTAACGTAATAAGACAGTTTTGAGCAAAAACGACCGTATGTTACCGAATAAAATCTTTCCGGCCAAGGTGAGAGGTGCTTCTATTCGTTCAATTTTACTAATAAACATAATAACTTTTTGGATCCAAAATTGAGGTGATAGCTTTTATTGGGGTAGCTTTTATTCAGTAACATACGGTATCTTTATTTCAGTATAATCTAAAATTGTCCAATAAACGACAGGCATATCTTGTCTTCTAAGCAAAGTTCGTCGTGATTAAAATTATTTTGCACAGTAATATAAAACGGTCGTTTAAAACTAGAAATGGCTTTTGTCGCGATTTTTTATTAGTAAAACGTTATCAAAAAAGTACTTTAAGATGTATGTATAAATAAGTTACCCGAGCAATTGATTTGCATTAGTCCTTCCTTCTCATAGGAAGACATTTGTATGATTGGTTAGTTTTTATAGATCTACCCGTGATTTCCGTGATAATTACCAATCAAAAAATGCACAATTTTTTAAAGAAATTTATCGGTTTAATACAGTAAATATTACTCGAAACGGAAAAAAACTTTATATAAAGAAGCTTACAAATTAATAAAT